AACAAGACAAACGACGTGGTAAATTACACCACAGATTCACAGGTCCATTCATCTTAACAAAAATATTAGAAAACAACAAGATTGAAATTGAAAACCCCAAAACAAATCGAAAAGAGATTTTGCATATCAACGAAACCAAAATCAAATCTATTGTTACAGATGGATCCGAATCTTCAACATCGGAGCAGTAGGAATAAACTTCCATAACCTGAATAAATATCCCGGACTCCTACCTTATAAATTGGGAACTGCCAAAATAGTTTCCAATCATTGGTCATTAATACAAATTCACGACCTAACACCCCTTGTTAACGAATTTTATTTGATCAAAGAAAACGCTAACTATTTAATTAAAAACATTACAAATAATGTATCCTATGAACGAGAATATAAAAACACGTTGCTGCCTTTAATGGCATTAGAAAAACGCATAGAAAACAACATAAGGCAAATTGACCCAACGAGTAGTTACTCAAAAAGACAAAAACGTGGCATCTTGAATCCTTTAGGATCATTAATAAAATGCATTACTGGCAATCTTGATAAAGATGATGCAGATCTTTATGATAGGCAAATTAGACAATTACAAGAAAATCAAGATAAACTTAAAAAATCATCTTTTAATCAAATTAATTTATTAGGGAAAACCATTGAACAGTTTCAAAACGTTATCTCTAATATATCTGCCAATCAAATAACGCTAAAATCGAGAATACTGCAAATTGAAAGCACAATAAAAAAGGTAGCTCTGTCTGCTATTGACAACCATCAATACTTCCAAACTCACATAATAATTAATCAGATATCAATGCTATATCAAACAATTTACGATATCTTAGAAAAAACGGAAGTAGCTATCTCATTTGCTAAAATCAATACGCTCCATAATTCAATAATCGATCCATTAGAGCTAATAAAAGAAATTTGTAGATTTAAAAAACAATTAGTGCATGACGTGTTACCATTAGAAGCCAATATTGATAACATATTGAACTACGAAAAAATAATCGAGATTAAAGGTTATTCAAAGGGCCTGATTATCACCTTCATCTTGGAAATACCATTGGTCGAATCGGATGTCTATCACTATTATCAATTATTTCCGATACCAATTCCAAGCGAACAAAATCCTGATTTCTTTATGAACTTTCCACACAAACCATACCTTGCACTTAGCAACAACAAGTACTCTTATATGGACCAAACCTGCAACCAATTGTTACCCAACGAGTACTTATGTAAAGAAGCCCATACTGCATACATTGATCATGAGCCTCCATGTGCAGTCCAATTGATTTTATACAAAGAAAATGCCACTACTTGCCACCCTTTCCGTATTAGACTACAAAATGTCCAAATCACTAAAATAACGGACGGAAAATGGATAATCACAACGCCCGAACAACTAATTGTCTCAGCATCTTGTCCAAATTCTAAGGACAACGTACCGCTTCATGGTTCCTACTTAGCCGAATCTACAAATGAATGCAGCTTACAAATAAAGTCAATTACTCTACGAACTTATAAGCCCAATCGTTTGACTTATGATGATGTATCCTTGCCTACACTGAATTTATCGATGAATTATTACCAAACAAAGGAGTTTGCTTTTAATCCACCTACACTTGACCTGAACTCCATCAACTTGAAGGAAACCAATGAAATTGCCACAACGCTTCAAGAACAGAAGAGACGACTACAAGAAATATCTAACCCAATGGAAATGCACCAAATAAATTTTTGGACAATTTTACTTTATTGTATTTTAGGAATACTATGCATTTTTACTGTCTATAAATTACTTTTGAAACATCGCCTTAAACGTGCCCAAAAAGCCTCGTTAGAAGACGATATTGTAATTTAACAATTTTACTTTTACTTATTTAGTTTAATCATATTTTTCTTTTAGCATTTTCTTTATTTTTTCCATTGTATAAAACCATACCTTTTTTGGTATGCTTTTAACTTAGGATGGAGGAGTTATATCCCGTGAGAACTCCAATTCAGCATTTATATTGTTCTATTCAGCTTATTTTTAATATTATAAAAGGAGTAATTTCTAGATTTAAGTCAGTTCTATTGTATTAGTCAAATAAAGTTTTTTAAAAACGCTCTCTCGTGTACACCCCTCGTAAGTCCAGCATGTTAAGTTTATTTACTTAAATACAATGTAAACTAAAGGTTTGTAAATGTTTACTTAAAATATTAAATATTTATATAATTCAATAGGGAACATTTTATGAATCTTTTTTTTCTGTTTTTCTGAGTCATAATTTTTTGTAGTTGTCGAGCGAAAACGAATACAGTTGAGGATATAATTTAAATTATGTGAGATTTACGTGAATTTAATGGGTCAATTCTGGGCACATCTGTATATTTCTATAAGCCTAGAGCTGCCTAAAAACAATTTGTAATGCCGCACTTCCTGTAGATTACAGAATATATAATAGGATTGAAAATATCTCCGGTGGAGTGTTTGGCAATCGACACGTTTTGTAGTGTCTATAGACTTATAGAAATTTATAGATTTGCTTACAGATGTGCACAGAATTGACCCGTAAATCACATTTATATAACAATTATGTGATAACTATTGTTATCGTTCATATTATATAACATTTACGTAGAACCGGGAAACCAGAAAAGATATCAGTAGAAAATTTCGCCAATTATAGATCTCGATTATGGCCTCAAAAAAGGTTATTTGAGGCACTTCATTTTCGAGAAAATCGGCTTTGATGGTTTTGAATCAAAGTTTCAACATTGAGACTCATATCTCGAAAACTATTTCAAATAAATGATTCAACTTTGTTTTATCTTAAAGAACATTTAATCCTGATTTAGAATATATAAATATGTATTAGAATTTGTGAATTATTGATAGAGTAATGAGCAATGTTGTGAGGCAATGTCGGATGACCAAACATATTTTTTAGGGCAAAAAATGCAAAAATCGTTTCTAATTTCTTACAGGCCCTAAAACGTCAAAAACAAAAATTATAAAAATGCTTTTTCACTAAATTTGATACCCTCTTTCGATTGGTAAAGTCAAAAATTTAAAAATCCATAAAAATTGAAATTGAAATTGAAATTTTTCTAAGGGGTATGCAAGGAAATTTCATTTTCAAATATTTCGAAAGGTCGTATTTAGGAACTCAGGAAAGCTGTCGGCATGAAATTTTGTCCAATTGTAGATCTCGATTAGGGCTTCAAAAAAGGTTATTTGGGGTACCGAGCCCTAGGGCTTCGTTTTCGAGATAATCGGCTTTGAAGGTTTTTCACAGTTTGAGACAAAGTTTCAACTTTGAGACTCAATATCTCAAAAACTATTCTGGATAAATGATTCAACTTTATTTTATCTTGAAGAATATTTAATTCTGATTGAGAATATATAGATATGAATCAGAATTTGTTAAATATTAATTGAGTTATATGCGATTTTGTGAGACAATGTCGGATCATCAAAAATTTTCCAAGGCAAAAAATGCAAAAATCATTTTTAATTTTTTGGAGGCCCTAAAACCTCGAAAAGAAAAATCACGAAAATAATTTTCTACTCCCCACATAACAAAATTGCATCCTTAGAATGTATTAAGAATATTCTTTTTTTAGGAGGAATGTGCCTAGAATGTTCGCCAAAACCATTGCGAATGTGCTGAGAATGTTCTGAGAAAAGATTGTAGAAATACTGTTTGCAATACCCAAGAACTTCCTGGGAAATCCATTAGGATATTCCTAGAATATACCTATGAGATTCTCAGTACATCCTGAAAAGAATATTCCTGTGTGATTCTAAAAATATGCTTGAAATGTATATTCTCATATTCAAAGAATGTTTCTATGACATTATGGTTATGTTCTCAAAAGAATATTATACCAATATGCTTGAAATATTCTTAGAATATATGTACATATATATCATTCTCAATATGTATCCTAGACATAACATATTCTTGTTTGATTCTAAGGATATACTTGGAATGTTAATTTTCTTTTCCAAATAATGCTCCTTCAAGTCCTTTTAGATTAAAGGCAGTGAAAGAATTGGAAAATTTCTCTGGAAAACACAAGTGTTTAACCAAAGGTCCGGTTTCGAGCTTGTTATGCTCTCGTCGCGGTAAGCACGCCAACTGAGAGAAATAGGTTAATTCCAAGGTGATTCAAACGCTAGGCAAAATGTAGATCTTTAATAGCGCGTGGCTCCCTCTCTTGGAAGTCCTACAAAGCAAAAGAAAAAGAATATACCTATAATATTCTTAGTAGGTTCTAGATAGAGCATTATTGTTTAATTGTTCAATTGAATTTTTGAGTAGGTACTTTAGATAATTAGGTGAACAATATGGAAATATTCTTATCATGGGTACCTACCTACCATTTACTTCTCAGCACAACTTGGTAGGTATATTCTTAATACTTGATAGAGATATTAGCCGAAAGAACATTTTTTTAGGGTACATTATAACAATGTTCGTATGAGAATATTCAAATAATGTTATATAAAGTAGGTTCTTAGCACAATCTTTCAGGTAGGTGCATAGAAGCAACATTCCTAGTCGGTCATCGACGGGAACAGACGCGCGGCGCGAAATTTGCCGCGCCAGACCTTTCACACGGCGTGTGGAGTGCCTGTTCACGCTCCAGGCGCGCCGCTCTACACGCCGTGTAATGTCTTGCCTTCTTAACTATACGCTTTATTAAGCAAGCAAGTTCGTCATTGTTTCTAGTTAATTCCATATAGGTGTTGCCGGTACGGCGTGCGGGAAAAAGATAGTTTCCAAATTAAAATGCGTGCGGGAAAGTGACGTTTTACGAATGCTTGTATAAAAAAAAATATAAAAGTATGCAAGGTAGTAGAAAAAAAATCTGGCATTTCAACCAACCAAAATCGGTGCAGGTGGAGTAGAGTCAGTTCATAGACAAGTGCAGTTCGGAGTCAGTACAAAAAATAAGAGTAAATTCAATTCGTACTGCATTGTCAATGTCAATTCAAAATTAGTACAATTTTTAAAGGTTTAGTTTTTCATAACAAACATAAATTGAAATTTATTCAAAAGTAGAAAATGTTTGTAAAAAGACTAATTCGTCAAGGTGTCTCAATACATAAGCTTAAAACCAAATCGGTACCAGAAAATTTCCCCAAAAGATGTTTCCAAATTTCTAGTACACAATTTGAGGAAAACAAATCGATTAAAATAAGAGACCCATTTGAAGATGTGAAGGACAAAAACAAGGACACCTACTTGCAAATGATCAACATTTTTCTGGATAGAGATCACGTTTACCGAAGAGGACACGTAGAGTTTATTTATGCCGCTTTGAAGCACATGAAAGACTTTGGAGTACATAGAGATTTAGAAGTCTATAGATCTTTGATAGATGTTTTGCCAAAAGGCAAATTCGTACCCCAAAACATAATCCAGGCGGAATTCATGCATTATCCCAAACAGCAACAATGTATCATCGATTTATTATCACAAATGGAAGAGAATCACGTATTGCCAGATTTTGGAATGGAAGATCAACTTCTGGCGATATTTGGAAAGAGGGGATACCCAGTAAGGCGCTACTGGAGAATGATGTATTGGATGCCTAAGTGGAAATACGCTTCACCATTTCCTTTGCCAGATCCTTTACCCAAGGATACCTATGAGCTGGCTAAATTAGCCATAGAGCGCATAAGCAATGTGGATGCAACTAATCAAATAACAATTTATCAAACGGGGGATATTACAGATTCTGTAGACGATACTTGGATTGTTAGTGGCCAAAGTGCAACACAAAAGTGCCTGTTAAGTGAAAACGACCCTAAAGATCCAGTTTTTGTGGAAGGACCTTTTTCAGTATTCCTGCATGGAAATTATATTTATTATTTCACATTGCGTGGCAAGGCGAGGCCCTACGACAACAGCTATCAAGACCCAGACGAAGTGGACAAAATCGAAGCCAACTTTTTCACTTACAAACCCCCTATAAAAAGTATTGTTAAAACACCCACAGTGCACGAACAAGAGGACGGGGTTATTTACGCAGTATGTGCGACAGGGACTTCTAGTAAAGACTCTTTACTTTCTTGGATAAGGCATTTGGAACGGGACGGTAATTCTGTTTTAGGGAGTTTGCCTATAGTTTTTACTTTGAGGACTTCAAATAGGGAAATTGCTACTGTGGAAACTGAAGACCAAAGGAGGGAGAAAGAAAATACGCAAATTGGGGATAGATAGTATTAAGTTTATAATTATTTTGTTTGTATATAAATTCAATAAAATTGCTTCAATTTTTTTTTTTAAATTAAATATAAAATAATAATAAGAAATAATTCTAATGTTGGCAACATTGGATTTCAAAAAATTTAAATTCTCTACTCTAGAGTAGAATAGTGAGAGTACGCTTGGAGAGTGACAAGCGTAGATCTTGATCTTGTGATCTGTGCAAAGTGTATCTATTTATCAAGTGATGTATGTTTTGGTATAATGAAGAAAGTGTTCGAGCCCCTTGAAAAAATATTATATCGATAAACCATTCCCTATTGCTCGCTTTGGCTTGTGTCGTGATAGATGGCGCATTAAGGGCGGGTATTATAAAACTACTTTGAGAGTTAACTTCTGAAAATACATGTAATTCAAAAAGTTAACTTCAAGTCAACTGTCAAAGCAGTTAATACCTGCCCTAAAGTCGGGAAGGAAACTAATGTTGGCAACAATGGATTTCAAATTCAAATTTTTTGCTCTAGAGTAGAGTACTTAGTGAGAGTGGAGTACTCTACGCTCTACGAATGAAAGTGACTTAATGAGTAATGACAAGACAAGCGTGGATCTCGATCTTGTGACTGTCCCCTAGTGCCTAGTGCAAAGTGTATCTATTTATCAAGTTTTGTATGTTTTGGCACAATGAAGAAAGTGTTCGAGCCCCTACTAGTGCTATCCTGAAACCGTGTTTTAATGCTTCCAGACTAGTTTTATAATGCACTCTTTATTCGTGACGGGACGTCTGATATCGCGCGCTCTGCTCAATGGGATTCACAATAATTTTTCCACAGCTTCCGATCCGAAGTTGCAACAAAAAACGGAGCCCCACTTGGTCTCTGCCGTGTGCGGCTTCTCCAAGGAGAGAAAAATCCAAAGACTGGCCAAAGGACAATTCGGCGACGACGCCTGGTTCATGGCAAAGGATAAAATTGCTGATGTCTTGGGTAAGGAAAGGATTATTATACAATCGACCTTTGGCCTTGGATAATCATATTATTTGAGGTTTTTAGAGGAGTATCAAACTAGCCCTGATGTTACTTTAAGCATGGATCAAACTTCAATAAAATATTATTATTAAAGTCTTGTTTATTCATCTTCAGATAAACTTACTGGTATATATCTACAAGATAAATTGGTTGATAAATAACTGGCTGACTTCTGACCAATAAGATTATAGATTGCGTTTTTATCTGTCAAATTGCATTAACTTCCTGACAGTTCATCAGAAGATTAATAAACCAGGCCTTAGAAGATCCACATATCAAAACAAAATTGAAAAATATGAGTGTTTCTCATAGTCCAAGAGCCGGCAATACTAACGGGTATGTGATCCTTGCAATGGATAATTTCTACATAAAACAATAGTTCATAGTAACCTTTAAACCAAATGGATGGGTTGCCTCAATTCTCATGGCCGTAAAGCTGTTTTATAAAAAGATACTTCAAGAGCCATAAGCGCAACAAATAAGAAGTACCTTGCGGTGTAGGGGGTTCTCATCATATGCGGCAAACACTTTATTAACATGTTAATCGCCCAAATGGAACCTAAAAAAAAGTTTTGATAGGCCCAGATAAAATTATTTCCTCAATTGATGAATAATACACAATAATCGCAAATATTTGTATTTTTTTCCATATGTTACCTAAAAACAACCGAAAATATTACTTTGAAAATGAAACCCGGCTTTTGGGTTTCGGGGCCCCTTCTAGGTGTGAGCCCCAAAACCCAATTAGCGGTGCTCGAAGATACAAGCCTCAGCTTGTTTACTACGTGCATAAATATTAGATAGTAGAAAATGTGTGTCCTGCTACGAAAAATTAAGTGCTGAACAAGGCAAAAAAGTAGCTCGAAGCAAAGGACCAGAGTCAAGATTTTCTTACATTCACTGTAAATTTTTCTATTGTCTGTCCTTTTTATTTTGATTTATCATAGATCATTAATTTTGTTCTGGTAATCCATGCCTTTACCTACAATCAATAAAATGTCGTTCTACAAAAAAAAATGACAAAAAATCCTAGGCACAAACGTTAGTAGGGTTCCCCAAGCCCCTCTGAGAAAAACTCCATATATTGCAATGTTATGTTAAGCCCAAGAGCCGGGTCACGCGCATGGTGACACCCTACGTACAGGTTTCAGAACCTGGTTGACCACTAGCTCTGAAACCCAAATGTAGGGTGCCATGGCGATTAACGAGTTAACACAATTTCATGTTTCTTTTTTTGTCTAAAGACCTACAGCCTCGCCTACAGCTGTATGCAAAATCCTCTTCACAGAGTTCTCTTTTAACTTTGAAGGCTGTCACTTTCAAAAATTTGTATTGAGCAAGCAAAATATCGCGTGCCGTCGACTTTCAATGAGGGTTGCCATCATTTCCGGCCATCAAAATCGAGGCCACCCTATATATTATTTGAGAAGACATATTAAAGAATATATCTACCAATTTTCAGCTATTGCATCGATAACATTGTTCCTTCGGAAAAAGAGGAGTAGTTTACGCCCAGCCATCAAGGGGTTGCGGCCATGAGAATCGAGGCCACCCATCCATTTAGTTTGAAGATAACTATGAGCTATTCTTTTGTGAAAATTATCCATTGCAATGCAACGATCACATACCTGTTAATATTGCCAGCTCTCCTACTATCAGAAATGTATTGCAATAAAAAAATCAGATTTGACAACTAGTGCAGCTGTCATCAGCCGATAGTCATAATTTCATTAGAAAAATAAAATAGTGTATTTCCTAAGTAGTGTGGATAGTTTCACTTTTCTGCACTAATTAGAAACACTACTTTTTTCTACCTACAAGATGAAAATTAATATTTTTACTTTTCTGCATTAGTGCAGAAAAATACTTGTTCTGCATCAATAATTTGTACCTATATACAGGGTGTCCAGAGTCCAGAATAACTATTGAAGTACATGAGGATTTTAGAAACTATACAGAGTGGAACAAATGGGGAACAAGTTGTGCAACCAAGCGCCTACAGATAATTTTGTCAACTTATTTGAAACTCAGGCGTAGCAAATAAACAGGGCAAAAGGCACAACTTTTTCCCCATTTGGTCCACTCTGTATCTTCAATGATTTCTTCCAGAATCCCCATGTATCTCATTCCACCCAGAAATGTCAAACATGAAAGTTATAGGCAAGATTAGACAACTTTCAATGATGATACAGGGTGTGGCACAAAAGTGTGGCAAAGTGAAGTTGATATTTTTTAAACACCCCGTGTATTATTGACTCATTGGATTAGCCTTTTAAACCTGATTTCAAGTATACTAGGTTTTTTAGGTTTATGCCTTAGTCCGGAAGAAAATAAGAAAAAAAGGGGTGGAATAATCGCATTTTTATTGAATAGGTTGAACTCGAGGTTGAATTATATGGAAACCACCAGCAAAATATAAAAGTAGGTAGCCAAGGGATAAACCACCATCCCAAAATTGGTGCAAAAAAATCCTCAAAGACGATTTTTTTACGCATAATTCCTCAAAATTCCTCCAGATACTTCATCACAAATTCCTCCAAATACCCTACCACAAACTTCTCCAAATATTCCACAAATTCCTTTAAAAAAAGGAAAAACTTTTTGCATGCAAAGAGGAAGGTGAGAAACTCATTTTCCCAAAGTTTCAAATTTTTCCAGTGGAAAATAGCAACATGAAAAATCTTGGAAATCAACCTACAAAAGCTCAATTAGTTGAAAATACTGTCTCACATATTTCAAAGTTTTCCTGGAAAACTAGAGAAGGGAAAATTTTGAAACTTTTTGAATATAAAGAAGGTGAGAAGCTCATTTTCTCAAAATTTCAAATTTTTCCAGTGGAAAATAACAACATGAAAAATCTTGGAAATAGACCTACAAAAACTGAATTAATGAAAAATACAGTCTCACACATTTCAAAGTTTTCCTAGAAAACTAGTGAAGGGAGAAATTTAAAACTTTTTGCATGTAAAAAGAAAGGTTAGAAGCTCATTCACCCAGAATTTCAAATTTCTCCAGTTAAAAATTACAACATGAGGAATCTTGGAAATCAACCTACAATAACTGAATTAATTGAAAATACAGTCTCACACTCGGTCTCACATATTTTAAAGTTTTCCTAGAAAACTAGTGAAGGGAAAATTTTGAAACTCTTTGCATGTGAAAAGGAAGGTGAGAAGATCATTTTCCCAAAATTTCAAAATTTTCCAGTGAAAAACAGTAACATGAAAAATCTTGGACCTACAAAAACTGAATTAGTAAAAATGCAGTCTCACACATTTCAAAGTTTTCTTGGAAAAGAAGTGAAGGGAGAAATTTGAAACTTTTTGCATGTAAAAAGGAAGGTTAGAAGCTCATTTTTTCAAAATTTCAAATTTTTCGAGTAGAAAATTGCAACATGAGGAATCTTGAAAATCAACTTACAATAACTGAATAAATTGAAAATCGAGTTGAAAATACAGTTTCACAATCTTCAAAGTTTTCCTGAAAAACTAGTAAAGGGAAAATTTTGAATTTTTTTGCATGTTGTAGAAAGGAAGGTGAGAAGCTCATTTTCCCAAAATTTCAAATTTTTTCAGTAGAAAATAACAACATGAAAAATCTTGGCAATCAGCCTACAAAAACTGTATTCATTATTCTTTTGAATTTTTTAAATTTGACAATTTCCTTTAAATTCTTCATAAATTCCTCACAAATTCTCCCAAATTCCCCCATAAATTCCTCCAAATTCCCTATAAATTTTCCAAATTCTCATAAATTCGGATGAGTTCTTTAAATTCCCCACAAATTCCTCTAAATTTCGCACAAATTCTTTTAAATTCCCCACACTTTTGGCAAAGAATTCCTAGGTGGTTTGCCCCTTGTAGGTAGGTAATCATTCAAGTAAAAAATCCATCTTATTTCTTCAAAATGATGGGATGTTCAGAGGCTTATGAAGAACAAACCTAAAAAACCTAGTATACCTATTTGAAATAAGGTTTAAGTAAAAGGTTAATTCAATGGGTCAATAATATATAGGGTGTTCCATTTAAAATTTAGCTTTGTTTTGCCACACTTTTGTGACACACCTTGTATAGATATTACCTACATCTCTTACATTTGACATTTCTGGGTATCTCTTTAAACAGGTGAGATAGATGTGGGTTCAAATTATACACAATACTTCAAGTTATTCCGACCAGACACCCTTTATATACCTACCAATTTTAGATGTTTGTACTTTTCCACACTGCAGTACTTTCATTGATCTAAAAATGCGTGCGAAAAAGTGAGTTTTCACACCCTCTCCTGCAAAATAATAATATTTACTCCAAATGAATTCCATTGACGAAATCATTTGACTGTACTTTGGATCTGTTTACACTTTATAATTAATTTTGTTTGCCATTTTTTCCAAAATCCTAATCATTTAAATTAGATCAAATAAACTTAGGTCAATCAATATATATATATTTTTTTTCAAAAACCTAAATTGTTTCAGGTGTGGCCGATGGCGTGGGTGGATGGAGGGCCTATGGCATTGACCCGGGCGAATTTTCCCTACACTTGATGAAAACCTGCGAGCGTTTAGTCAGTTTAGGCCGATTCAATCCTACCAACCCCTCAGAATTGTTAGCTAGTAGTTACTATGAATTGTTGCATAATAAAAAGGCTATTTTAGGTAAGTTGATGAAAAAATTTCCTATACAAATCAGCTTGTTTTTAAATGTTTCGATTAGTTGATTTTTGGACTCTTGACAAAGTGTTTTTGAGTTTAAATGAAAACAATTCTTTGACATGATGATGTGTAAATTTATTATGCAAGATTACAATTAGAACCGCAAATTTATATTGATTTTGCTTCTAAAAATAATCTACTCAACATACAAACGTTTCAGTGGCTTCAGTATAAAATTAGCAGAAATAATTTCATTAAATGCAATTTTTGGCAAAACATTCATCAGTTTCATCCTGACCTTTATTTTTCAGGTAGTAGTACAGCATGTGTAGTACTTTTGAACCGAGAAAACAGTACACTGTATACTGTGAATATTGGTGATAGCGGTTTCATGGTTGTGCGAAAGGGCCGCATTATCAGGCGGTCTGAAGAACAACAGCACTATTTCAATACGCCTTTTCAGGTAAGAAAGACAATTTGCTATAAAAGTAAATTTTACTTAGAAAATGAATATTTTTTTCAGTTATCACTGCCGCCGCCAGGTTATAGGGCTGATGTATTGAGCGACCGGCCTGAATCAGCTTCCAGTGACAATTTTCAAGTTGAAGATGGCGATGTTATACTGGTAGCTACTGATGGAGTGTTCGATAATTTGCCTCAAAATATTATTCTCAATGAACTAGTTAAGGTAAGTAACTGTAATTACACACAATGCAAAGTTAACTCACTCTCTTTGTTAGTGTCAAGGTGAAAGATGCGCAAGCCGACTACAAATGGTTGCCAATTCGATTGCCTGGATGGCACACAGTTTGTCCTTTGATGAAACTTTTGTGTCGCCATTCGCAGAGCGAGCTTTCGCCAATGGAATCAATATGATAGGTGGAAAACCAGATGACATTACAGTAGTTTTGGCAACAGTTGCAATATAACAATGGCCTTAAAAAGAATCCTCCCATTTTTCACGTCAGTTAATTAATTTATAATTTCATCTAATCATCAAGCGTCTTTAAAACAAAAACAATTATTATTTAGTATTTTTGGCCATTGTCGCAACAGTGCTAGATTTATGTAGGTAAGGCGCTGCTTAGAAAATTCAATTAATTGTACCTGAGATTTTTCAAATTAATTATCAGTTACAATTATTTTTGGAAACAGGAGACTGATTAAAATTGTAGTTTTTTAATGTTGTTTTGTTACCATTGGATTTACCTAAGAGGGTTAAATGTGTTAGTGTATATTATTTTGTTTAGAAGGGGGGATGTTGGTGCTTGAAAAATCCTTTTTTTTTTCCTCATCCCCTTTGTTTTAGTATTTATAAGTCGAATAAAACGCTCAGGTACAAGAAAATGGTGATGATCTATTTAAATAAACCAAAAATATTTTTTACCTAATATTTAGGTGCCTCAGACTCAGTGGTGTTTCCTGATTGAAAATACCAATTAGTCAATGTTTCCTTTTCTTTTTCCATGAATTGGTACCCAAATTACAATGTTTGGTAATTATTTTGTGTACTCGTTTTTGTTTGGAGGAGTGTCCTCATATAAAAAAAAAGTAGTAGATAGTTGATTATAATTTACCTAGTTGTTACTAAATAAATAAATTAAAAATATTGTGTTTTAATTAATTAAATTAATCAATCAATATACAAGAGTTCAAAACAATTTATTAATTAAAAAAAAAACAAAAAAATATAAATTGGTATCACTGGTTTGGGCCATTTTGTTGCTCATTTCTAACGTTTTCATCATTATCCTGATCCTGGTTGCCCCAATTGAAGCCTCCCGGGTTGTCTTCTGGCAATCGTTGGTAGTCTGCGTTCTCCGGTAATTCATCAAAAAGGAGTTTTCTAAAAAAATAAACGCAAAATAGAAGTAAACAAGTTAAATTATTTAGACTATTATACTTACACTATTGTAGGTGTTTTCAAAATCTTGAATCCGCCTCTTTGATTTGGAAAAACATCTTCCAAAAAATAATAAATATGTCCTACAGCTATACCCATCAGATCGACGTACACTGCATTTCCTAATAGTACAGAAAAAGCCACTAGTACCCATGGCAAATAGGGAGCCTGAAAGTTTAACAATCCAAAAAAGTTCATCCTCACAAACAAATTCCTTCTTGACCACACATAAACTAGCATTATCGTAAAGGCTTGGCCTAGAAATAATAAGTTGACAAAAAATGCAAAAATCTGTAATTGGTTAAGGTCCAGTGTGGTTTTTAAAATTTTATGAGAAAAGGGGTTTCTCATATATAGGTATATGACATGCCTGCACATTTTGACTATTTACTCAAAAACTACTTGAGGTGCAAATATGAGATTTTGAGGCTTAGAGGCAAAACATACTAGAAATTCGAAGCAATTGAATGAAAAATTACAAAGTTAGATTTTTAAAAATGAGCATTTTCTTCTATAAGTATAAGACTAAAATATGACATGTCTCCACATTTTGACCATTAACTCAAAAACTACTTGGGGCGGAAATATGATATTTTGGGGCTTAGAAGCAGAACATACTAAAAATTCAAATCAATTAAACAAAAAATTGCAAAGTTACCCGTGTTGGTGGTAAAACGCTTTAGTGCAACACGTAGTTTCTTATAAGATGCATTCCTAATGCTGTAGTTAGCCTTTTTGGACCGATTTCAATATAAAAATATGCGGATTATATTAGTTTTCAAGAAAAATCTATAAATTAAAGTGGTTCAATTTAAAGGTAAGTTTGCATAGGACTAGTACGCATTACGTGGACGGGTTAGCTTGGGTTAGTTTGCATATTTTTGGTTAGTTTTGGTTACAATTCGTATCTACTGGTTATAAGTGTACTGATTGAGAACACAGCGCACGAAGCGGGCTTTGTTTTTTAAATTGGTATGATTAGGGCTCTCGGGAACAGGGTAGAACGCATACTCCGATTGAGTTCATTTTTGGTATACATATAAAGGCCGCTGAAAGAAATTTTTCCAGAAAAAAATTACCTTAGCCGCGACCTTGACCGTGACCTTGACCAGTGAAATTCACATAAATATCAATTTATCGTGCTGAAATTATGTATAGCGCCGAAGAGCATCATAAATAACCCACACGCCGAGTTTTAGCCTTCAAGGTCATACATATTCAGAGATACGGCAACCCCGCATTCTCAGTTTGGGCTCTCGGGAATGGGCTAGAAGGCGTAGTCCAATCGAGTTCATTTTTGGTATACATACATATAAAGGCCGCTGAAAGAAATTTCCCCAAAAAAAAATTGACCTTGGTCGTTGGCTGTGAACTTGACCGTGACCTTGACCAGTGAAATTCACTTAAATATCTATTTATCGTGCTGAAATTATGTACAGGGTGGGCCAATTTGGACACTTTTAATAGGAAACATCATGATATTGAATATTAATTACTTATCTAAAACTGGATACAGTGTACTGATTAACAACGACAACCAAGCGCGACAAGCTAGATAAAATAAAAATGTTCAAGGATACTAGTATGCATTTCAAGAATTGGTTAATTTGGGTTGTTTTGCATTATTTTGTAATTCTCGATTAGATAGGTTTACGGGGACTAGCACGCAGTACAAAGACGGGTAAGTTCGGGTTAGTTTGCATATTTTTGATCAGTTTCGATATAACACAGTTATTGTCAGTTGAAGTGTACCAATTTCAAAAGTTCAGTAGATATTATACGCTTTATCATTACTCAATAATGTTTTTTTCAAAAAATGGTTTGAACACTTAGCTCTTCTCTTCATTCGAATATCTACCACATGATGCTTTTTACGTTTATTAAATTTTTATCTGCTAAACAGAGCGATTGTGATATTAAGCTGATAAGAATAGATATTATATATTGATCTGTGTCAAAGGTCGAGAAGAGGATTCATTCAATATTTATAAAATCCAATTTATAGTTATTTGCGCCAACATTTTCGATCATAAAACAATATTTTGGGATCAAACTAAACTATCTATAATGAAGAAGCATGATATTTTTTTTGAAGGACCTTTACTGAACTGTTACCTTTTACGGCCTAAATATGTATACCAAAAATGAACTCAATCGGACTACGCTTTCTACCTTGTTCCCGAGAGCCCAAACTGAGAATGCGGAGTTGCCGTATCTCTGAATGTGTATAACCTTGAAGGCTAAAACTCGGTATATAGGTTACTTGAGATGCCTTTCAACACTATACAAGTTTTCAGCACGTTAAACTGCCATTTACGTGAATTTGATGGTCAAGGTCAGGATCAAGGTCACAGTCAAGGTCAAATTTTTTTTGGATTTTTTTTTTTGACGTCCTATATATGTGTACCAAAAATGAACTTGATCAGAAAACGCCCTATAGCCCGTTCCCGAGAGCCCAAAAATTACCTTTAAATTCAATAGACGATGGCAATGTAGTCTCCTCACTCATACCACCCACAGGTCTTTCCGCACGTGAATTCCACTATCTTAGACTAACTCAAATATCGCAGATAAATAACGACCTGGAGATAATAGAGGACTGGGGTAACAAAAACCTTGTACAGTTCAACGCGCAGAAAACCCAAGCAGCTCTGTTTTCAAAAAAGACCAGCACCGGTGAGCCAAACATCATGCTATCTGGAAGTGCTGTCACATTACAGAGTCAGTTGAACATCTTGGGGGTTACTGCAGAGACCAACATGTCTTGGCACAGTCACGTAGCAGATATCGCTAAAAGGGCCTCTCAAAAGCTGGGGGTGCTATTTCGTACAAGACATTTGTACACACCAAGCCAATTGCTGACACTCTACAAAGCCCAGATTCGACCAACTATGGAGTACTGCTCACATATATGGAGTGCAGCACCTAAACATACCTTAATGCTTTTGAATACCGTGCAAAAACGAGCTATCAAGCTGATCAATGACCCCGCACTTACTCGTAACTTGGATGGTCTCGAACATCGCAGATCTGTGGGCGATTTATCTCTCTTCTACAGGTACTATCACGGAAAATGCTCTGAAGAGTTGGCACGTATGATTCCACCGAGAGTAGCACCTACCAGGCGAACCCGTCAAACAGACGGTAACCATGAATTTACTGTCAAACTAGAGGCACCAAGAACCTCATTATATCAGAATTCATATCTCTGGAGAACAGCATCGCTGTGGAATAAACTCCCTGTGACGGTTTTCCCTGCAGGTTACAACCTGAACCGTTTCAAGACCAACATACACCGACATTTCCGCGCACTTGCCGCTTCTCGAGCGTGATAGGACATTTCCTTGCGAGTGCGCATATCCGTAAAAAAAAAAAAAAAAAAAATATCAACATACAAGGACTCGCACGCATTACGTGGCCGGGTTAGTTTGGGTTAGTTTGCATACTTTTGGTTAGTTTGAGTTACAGTTCGTTCAATATCTACTGGTTATAATATCTACTGGTTATGTGTAAGTAATTGTGAATGTGAATATTCGCTTACTACGGCAAAAAACGTCAATATCTGCACTTAAATTGATACAAAACCAACTGTACCTATAAAGGATATATCAACTAATTTTTATAGAAAATTTGTTAATTTTTGTTGCACTAAAGCGTTTTACACCCCAAGTGTTTTAATTATGGCCATTTTCTTCTTTTTATAAGGCTGAATATGACATGCCTCCACATTTTGACCATCTACTCAAAAACTACTTGGGGCGCAAATATGAAATTTTGAGGCGATATTTTTGAGGCTTAGAGGCAGAATATACTAAAAATTCAAATCAATATTAAATGAAAAATTGCAAAGTTACGAGTGTTTTAATTATGACCATTTTCTTCTATGAGGCTGACTATGACATGCCTCCACATTTTGACCATTTACTCAATAAATACTTGAGGCGCAAATATGAAATTTCGAGGCGATATTGATGAGGCTTTAGAGGCAAAACATACTAAAAATTCCATTCGATTGAATGAAAATTGGGAAAGTTACAAGATTTTCAAAAATGAATATTTTCTTCTATAAGACTAAATATTAAAACAATACAAAAATTATTGCGAAATGTTTAAGTGATTTATTTTATAAAAAAAAATCTAGAAATGTACCCAATGCTATATCAACACAGGGTCTGTTTCTGCAGAAATCACAAACCAGTCAGAGCGAATTTCATTGGTTGAAAACAGTCAGAAAACTAGTTTCAACCAATGAAATTCACTCTGACTGATTTGTGATTTCTGCAGAAACAAACCTACAGATACAGTAAACAAAATTTTGTATCGCCAACACTTGGGAGAGTGATCTTTGGTTCATCCCCTCCAATTACGTTGCCAAGTTGATTTTATCCTGTTATGATTTTGTTTTCAAAAAACTGAAGCTTCCAAAACTAACTGACAGATGTAAAAGATGGTATTTTATTTTAAACATTGGTTTAAACTTTTGGTTAAACCGCGTTTAATCTGAAGTTTAAACTCTACTTGTAAAAGCGACCCTAAAAAAAACTACTGGCAACGCTGGTTTTGCAAGAAGGAGCACAAAAGAAAAGTGAGATTGGTTAGTCATTGAAATATCAACATCAACAAGTGTATAAGGGCTGGCTCAAAAATGATTACTCATTTCAGTGTTAATTCTCAATAAATCAAGGTAATTTATATATTAATTGAAAGAGGATCAAGTCCTCTATGAAATCATCAAAAAATTAGCCCTAGGGTTTGTATACTTTTTGTGATTTTGGCCTATTTTGCTTTTAGATTATGGTGGAACAATTTAAGATGTTTTTGCTAGTAACTATGTTGGTAACACAAGCCTTTTCTACATAAAAAATTTGAAAGCATTGACAATTTTACATTGTATTGCCAACATAATGTAATTTTGACTTTTATCTTTAAAAAAAAAACAGACATTAGGCATCCTGTCTACCTTGTATTTTTTTTTTTTTTTTTTGTAAATCGAATTTTAAAGTAGTAGTTTGCACGTTTGCGGTTGGATGGCGCTAGTTTCGTAGGGCATTTATTTCTCTTTTAAATAAGCCAAAAATTAAAACATATGATAATATTCTTAATATTTATTCTACAATAAAAATTATATTAATATTAGCTTTTTTTTGTTGAACTCCTTTGCGCATGTTCGAGGAACAAGTAGGCTTTGGGAACCTCACGAACTGGCGGCCATCTTGTCAACAAAAGTTCTTTCAGCGTTGCCAACTTAGCGGATTTTCCGTTATATCTAAGGGATTTTGGTGAAGGGAAGCGGAAAAAAAAACAGTTTCAACGGGTGACGGATTTTTTAACGGAACTTTCCGTTTGAAAATTCCAAATTATGTTCTATAAATGTAATAAACTGGTTGTTTAACGATTCAAGCTACTTTTGGTCTGTAAACAAGCCTCTACGGAAACGTTGATCCGACTAGCCCGATCATCAGCTGATGTTATCTATCTTTTTTCAATGGTTTTATTGGAAAAGGATAAAATAGAAACAGCCGATGAACCGGTGAATCGGATCAGTGTTTCTAAAAACGTCTAAAATCAAATGGGATTGTGGTCAATTGTCGCTAACTCTGCATGATTTGGTTGGCCCCACTGAATACATTTTATTTGTTTAGCGCATTTCGCATTTTTCATTCTGACGGATTTTATTGACGGAAAAGAAAATGGTTTAACGGATTTTTGACGGAAATCTACAGCAAAGTTGACGGAATTAAAAAAATACTGTTGGCAACACTGAGTTCTTTTTGTGTCCAAGTGTGCCGGGCGGTGGATCGCTCGTCGGTTTTTTGCAAAATTTTGTAGTTTTTCGGGCGATTTTAGTGCGAAAAAGTGTTTTAAAGTGTTCGTTGGAGTGTTTTGTGTTCGATTGGCACACTAGACACTGGCCAATAAAAAACTTTATGGGTTTCTGATCGAAGAAATATCCTGGGCTGGCTAGGGCCATGAAAATTGCAAGGTAGACCTTTTTTTGGTACCATTTTATTTAAAAACATAAGCCTTGCATGAAGCTACACTTGTTTTTATGGAAATAATACTTTTTTATTGAAAAAATGCATTTTTAAAAGGTCCTTTGCAGTAGTTTGCAAAGTAGTTAGGTGGCTTTAGTTTTGTAGGAAATTAATTTAATATGGCGTCCCAGGGCAAGCAAGAAGAGTCGGTCCATAATTTGGCCCTTAATCTGATTTGTTCATTTTAATTGTTGTTAATTTTTTATAAAAAATATACATTCAGCAACATTTCAAACGCTGAATATGACGTCATTAGCTTCAACTAGCAATAATATCACTTCACAACTTAGTGAGTATTGTAACGTTGTCAGATTGTGGTAGATTTCCAAAATTGCCTTTAAAAATCTGGTTTTTATCCTTGTTTATATAATTTGTTGTATTTTTTTGCACTACAGTTATAAAATTAATGTAATAATTGTGTGTGTAAAAATCGTTTAATTGTTAGACTGGACGCATGTTATTTGACTGGCATATTGTGTAATTTCACAAATTTCGATTGGCAACACTGAGAGGCAGATAGTTAGATAAACAAGTTGCACTTGTGTGCCTTTGTTTATTATTTTGGTCATATTTACATCTCTGATGCATCCCCACCATGAACTTACTTGAGCAGCTCATCAACTCTGGCCCCTGGGGGGTCTAGTCATACCACTCATACCAACAAATTTATACAATTGAATATCAAAGGATACAATCATTAAGCTGGCTCCAAACAAAAACATCATTAGAAAGTCGGACGACCTGTTTCTAAAGGAGCCCTCTTCCAGCATCCTGCAGTAACGATAAGTGAATATCATCGTGAACAGAAAATTGAATCCGAAAGTTCCAAAAAACAGAAACGTCGTTAGCAATCTCCATATTTGGCCTTTTAAAATTAAAATCGGATTGAAATATAGTTGGAATGGCGAGGCCAATTCAAGTTGCTACAAGAGAGACGTATCAATTTGCTAATTCAATAGATCTGGATGAGTTAATTAATTACCACAGCCAATGTTGTTACTACACAAGCAGTAGTGTAGGCCCTAGTGATAGGGGGTGTATTTAAGTACTCGTTCCTCAACGTTTGATAAGCCATTGTTCGATTTTAAACTGTTTATCCCACTAATTAAGATCACGACATCACTATTTCCCACTAATTGTTGAGTGTTTTTACTAGTATTGAATATTTTGGCCACATCACATCACTCATTCATAAAAGCCAAAACAAATAATTTTTTTCCAAAGCAGCTGACTTCTGTCACATCAAAAATAACAAAAACTTCAACAACTTTCGAGCCTCGAGGCAAGATAATTTGATATCTATCCTTTGCTTTTTCAAGCTGATGATATGAGATGGCAAAAGTCTTCACGCTAAATATTGCGCTAAATCAATACTGCACTAGCACCATCTAACAATTTAAACTAGAGATTTGAAGACGTCCGCCAATGTGACAAGTAATCAATAAAGTTCAAATTTTTTAAAATTTATTTTTCTACGAGCGTGCGGAAAGGGAAAAGTGTATTTTTCCGCACGCATTTTAGGTCATGAAAGTATCACTTTTCCGCACTAGTGCTTTTCTGTACCGTTCCGCACTGCGTGCGGAGTAGAATACCTGAAATTTTGAGGTACCTATACAGGGACGGTTAACAGGTATAGGTACTCAGCTACAGGTCTGAAAAAGTGAAAAAAATAGTTATTTTCTGCGATTGACAAGAAATGTCAGCATGTTTGACCGGTTGACAGGTCGCAAAACTCAATATTCTGGTATTTCAATTATGTTTCAATAGTTGGCTAAGGAATCAATGAATAACAATACGGGAAACACTTTTCTGGCCTAGGCCGGGAAAGTGATTCTCGTACTGCTGAATAATTGGAACTAAAAGACAAACATTTAACAGGTATTCAATCGATCGCAGAAAAAATAGTATGTGTATTTCGGTGGAAAAGCACATTCTCGGCCTTCGGTGTTTGCCGGCCTCGGCTACGCCTCGCCCGTCAACTCACACCGTCGGCCGAGAATGTGTCACTTTTCCACCTAAATACACAATATACTATTTGTGCAACCAGTTGGGAAAAGTACTACCTATTTTTCGTAACGAGCAGATTTCGCTCGTTCCGCAAAAGAAAGCGAGTTACGAAAAATAGTGTTTCCCAACGTGTTTCACACAATTTTTTTTCTAATTTTGTATATTATACTCTGATCCATTAAAATTCAAGTCAATAAAAACTTGAAAAATGTCCCTTCTATAATTATTTCCAAATTGTCAAGTAAGTTCAGAGATGTTTCCCAATCCATCACCATGGAAGAGTCATTGCTTTCGACGATCATCCACTACCTACTCTGCTTGTAGATTCGGTGGATGATTTGCTGAGAATCATAGGCGTCGACTACGTGGGTGCTCGGGGGCTCGAGCACCCACGAGACGTAAACAGTGCTTAGACATAAAAACTGATAATCCTCTCTAGTTCCTGGAAAACTGGTTAATTTTGTACCTCGGGTTTCTGAAATCTGGTTAACCAAATGTCAAAATAGTTACCGGCCAACGGATGTCGGTTTTGTTGGTTTTATCAAGGTTTTATCTGTGACTTCTATCAATTATGTTTAATTTCCATATTTGCGTTTCCCAAAGTAACCGGAATTTTCAGTAAACATCTGTTGACCGATTCGGTTACTTTAGCTCTGTTCCAGCAGACATGAAAACCTTTCTAGAACGGTAATCTCCAGTCGATCAATCCACTTGTCAATTAGGAAAAGCGTTCAACTTATTGAAAAATAGGTGGGCAACTGGAAATTATTGGTTCTGGAACGGTTCTCATGTCTGTTAGAACAGAGCTAATGGTTAACGTTTGGTTATATTTGGACGATAGCCTTACATAGGTTATGTTCCGATATCAACTCTGTCAGTACTGAATTTACTGGACTCCGTTCCGATATTATTTTCAGGACACTGGATTCAGTCGATTCAGTACTGAATGACCACAAGAGTACCCTGTTGAAATTGGAACGGCAAATGACAGTAAAATCAGCACAGTATATCCACTACTGGCAGTTGATATCGGAACATGGTGGTACTTTGTTTAGAAGAAGAAGAAGATGAAGAAAATCAGAAACCTTTTATGGAGAACAGCGTAAAACGCAGATTTTCGGTACATGCTGCTTGGAAAAGAATATCTGCCGGAGAGTTTTCCACACTTTACAGTAGAATGTTTTCACAGCTATCAGACCAATACCCACCTCTACCACGTAAAAACCCCCCTCCAGCACAGCCATCATACCACTACCCACCTCCACTAGTCCACTGTACCCCCTTTCCGTGAAGCTCCTACCCTGAGGAGGCACTTTTTACCCACCTGCACTGTAAACCCTCTTCCGTAAAGCCCTCCATTAATCTATTTTCAAAAGGCTCTTACCCTGAGATGGCACTTTATAATATCCCTTCACTTTCTTGAAAACGAATGAATATTTAACCAATTCTTTCATTTGTATTCGAATTCGTCAATTTTGGGGTTGGCCCGGGTCAAATCTCCAAAATTTCAGATCAAAAGCGCCGCCGATCTAGAGATTTTCCCACGTTACAAAAAACTTCCCAGGCTCAAGTGCCCCCGACTATCAGACCAATACCCACCTCTACTACGTAAGTGGTCTACCAGATTCACAAGCAAAATGTTATTATTGCAATAAAATTAATCTCATGGAGTTTAGAACACTATTGACGAATACAAATGCAGGAATTGTTGAAATATTCTTTAATTTTCAGGAAAGTGAAGGGATATGGAAAGAGGTACCTCCAGTAACTCTTCAGAGTAGAAGCTTTTTGACGTAGTGGAGGTGGGTATTGTTCTGATAGCTGTGAGGTGGGTATTAGTCATAAACAGGTGCATTAATTTTATTGCAATAATAGTTATTTATGATATAAGTGTTAAAAGTACATTTTTAAGGCACGCATGTGAAAGTTTGCAGAATGAGCGAAGCGAATTCTGCAATTAACATAAGTGCCTTAAAAATACTTTTAACACAAATATCATACAATATTTTTTCTACAAACGGCAATAAAAAGCAATAACCACTAACAAATTGGATTTTTAAATGAATAATAAATTGGAAGCATCTTTCCTACATAAAATTATTGAATTTGACATTTGTCAAAAAATCCATACAACCAGCACCTTGTTTTACAGGTAACGAAATGTCTTGTCAGTTTCTTGAAACTTGAAAGTATGTCGTGGTCAGGAATGCTTTTTGCTAAAAATGCAACAAAATACAGAAGAAAAAGAGAGGTGCATCGATCCTTCGAAAAATATAGATGAGGCGGCCAATCGGGCTACCTCAGTTGTTCAAATTTCACCATTATTATCAATGTAAATAACTGAAAATACAAACTTTTTTTGACGTCCGCTCTCAAAATTTGATGTTTCACTTTTAACACTAGTGCTATAAAGACTTTATGGCACTAGTGCGATAAAGTAACATTTTTAATGCTTCGGGGCGGTGTTAAAAATTGCATTTTTAACACGTTTGTAGAAAATAAATATTTTGCTTGTGAATCTGAGAGTCTGATAACTGGGGGCACTTGAGCCTAGGAAGTTTTTCGATACCGTGGGGAAATCTCTGGATCGGCGGCGCCTTTTGAAAATAGATGGAGGGCTATGATGACTATGCTGGAGGGGGGCTTTTACGTGGTAGAAGTGGGTATTGTTCTGATAGCTGTGAAAACACTCTATTCTTTACCCTTATAGCCGTCCTTTTTTTCCAATTTTAGCAGACACCGCAAAAAACTTACGCAAGCACCAAGCAACACTAGTTCCCGCAGCTGGAAAACGATCATGGAAAGGTGTGAACTACGTTGTTTGAAATGTATTACCATTCCCTTCTTAGACATTCGTCCGAATGTAAATTAATAATGCTGGTAAACGTTTTTGGGCGTGGCTTCTGGAGAAGTTTTTTCGCCACCGGCGGGCTGTTCACCCCCCCCCCCCCCCCATAAATGCCGGTGCATGAACATCAGCACTCCGAGGTTTTCTGAAACTCGGCGCCCCTGCAGTTGCGAATCTACAATCTACGGGCACAGGTCAGGGACACTGCGATACTAAAAAGTGGTCATGTTTTAAAAGTAAAATCTTATGGACTTCAAAATGCCACAATAGTTCTTCATGTGAGAATAAATAAATATTTTTTTATTTGACCAATTTTGATCAAGGCAGTAGACCTAGGTACTACCTACCTATTTTTACAGAATTGTTTCCTAATTTTTCAATTCAATGACCTGATCACTTATAAACAAATTAGATTATGTTACTTAAGTCGCGTTTAAGTTTTGTATAATAATTCTTATTTTTACTGCAAAAAAGGTAGATATTATATTACTTACCTTTTTTATAAAGATTATCTTTAATGGGTAACCTAATTGTTAAATTCAATAAAGTTGCAGCAAACATAAGATGTTTTATTTGTCCTTCTTTTTCTTTTAACTTTATACATTACCGGTGGACCAGCGTCCAGCAGGTACTCTACACAATTTCTAGGAATTATAAACATTACCTAGGTGAGGTATTCTATACATTGCCTAGGTATTGTATAGAATACCTGAATTATACAGATTGCCGGTAACATATACACACAAGGCTACGTAGACGATCTTGTCATCGTTGTGGCTGGTAGGGTACCCAGCACCAATAAAAGGATCACGAAAAGAGCTCTTAACATGATAGAAAGATGTTGTTAAAATCACGGGCTTTCGATAAATTTGCAGCCAAAAAGCCTCCTTCTGAAACTAAGCAGGAGCCAACTAAGAGCCATCATAAGCGTCCTGACGTGACACTGGGTGGTCTGCATCTATACAAAATTGGACTCAGCAATGAGACGGAATTTAGGTTCTGCAGCGAAGTAGATGAAATTACCAAGCATGTAGCAAATGAGACGGCCTCGTCAGTCGCAGACTTTGATACCTCGGGTACAGTTTCCTGAAACCTGAGGAAATAAAGCATGTCCAGTGTTAAGATTTATGGCGTTTCCGATTGGTAGATTTAGTGCGGAACTAGTGCAATTTTTTCTATCTCTGTCTTTTTCTTCTACAGGTCGATTAAAAGGATGCAAATACACTCAGTGCGCACTGAATTTACCAATCAGAAACGCCATTAGATATATGATTTTAATTTATAATGATGCCACCAATGTTCGGTTGGTTGTCATATTGCCATTGTCAAAAAATTGTCATATTTTTTAAAACTCCTGTCATCGA